GAGGCAAGAGAACTACCTTTCTGAGACTGACTGAAGTGGATTTCATACAGAACTAGCGGTCCCCTGCCACGCGTTGCTGTGGCCCAGTCTGGTAATATGGAAAATAAAGTAATTAGAAAGTGCTGTAATGTCTTTATACTTGTGATTAAACAGTATTTCTTGATGTTTCTTTGACAGTGTTGACGTAGAGATTGTCTGGTTTGCCTACTCTGGAACATACAACATATAGTTGTCCATCTTTAGGAGTCCCTTTCAAATCTATAATACTTTATCTGTGTGTGTGTGAATCATATCTATCTATCTATATCTATGGCTGGATGGCTCTCTGTCAAGAGGGTTTTGATTACATTTTCTTGCCCTGGTGAAGGGAGTTGGACTGGATGGCCTTAAGTATTTTCTGTTGGTCATGGGGGTTCTGTGTGGGAAGTTCATCCCAATTCTGTCATCTGTGGGGTTCATTCAGAATAGTCTTTGATTGTAGGTGAACTATAAATCCCAGTAACTACAGCTCCCAAATGCCAAGGTCTATTTCCCCCAAATTCCATCTGTGTTCATATTTGGTCATATGGAATATTCATGCCAAATTTGGTCCAGATCCATCATTGTTTGAGTCCACAGTGCTCTCTGGATGTAGGTGAACTACAACTCTCAAACTCAAGGTCAATGCCCACCAAATGCTGCTAGTATTTTCTGTTGGTCATGGGAGTCCTGTGTGCCAAATTTGTTCAATTCCATCGTTGGTGGAGTTCAGAATGCTCTTTGATTGTAGTTGAACTATACATCCCAGCAACTACAACTCCCAAATGACAAAATCATAATTTTTGGAGTGATGTTCACTCCTTGTGTAGTGAGATGTTTTGTTGCCAAATTTGGTGTGATTTTGTTCATTGGTTCTTTTGTTTTTAAGCCACTCATTATGACATGAGCATTTATATATATATAGATAGATAATGTAGCTTAAAGGAGTGGTGTGATAAAGCCCTGAATAGGATTTCCGTATCTCTGAAAGGAAGTGGGGTCACCAATCCCTACCCCCCTCCCAGTGTTTATCCTTAAGTACCTTGAAATAAATTTATTTGTAGTTCTCAGTTATGACATCCATTATGGAGGACGATAAGTACAGTGCAGCCCTTTTGCCTAGAACACCCTAAGCTCAAAAGAGCTTCTGGTGGTGCATGATTCATGTGGACTGAACACTGACTGGTCAGATGTTCTAATCCGGGCAAAGCACGGATGAGCTCCCTCTGTCAGCTCCAGCTCCCCATTTGGGGACATGAGAAAAGTCTCCCATAAGGATGGTAAAACATTAAAAAAATCCGGGCATCCCCTGGACAACGTCCTTGCAGATGGCCAATTCTCTCACACCAGAAGCGATTTGCAGTTTCTCAAGTCCCTCCTGACACAAAAAAAACCAACAAAAACTTAAACATTGTTTCAGTTGCCACCACTGGCAAAATACCCTCCCAAAGTAACAAGAATATCACTTTTTGTTGTGTCATCTGTGGTTATGTAGTTTGCACAGGGCCCACATGCTCTTCGACGTTTCAGGGATGAAGAAAGGACATGTGTAGCCAGGCAATCTCAGGGTTGGGTCAAAATGATAAAAGCAATAAATGAGGAAAATTAAACTGCTGTTGGGAAATTGATGAATTTTTATTCCATCCCCAGTGCAACATCACTCTGAACTAGATAATGAAGGTTATCAAAATACATATTTTTGGACTCCTGTGATTAGGCTCATGCCAGTAAGGTAAAGCTCAAGATCCTGCAAGGAAGACTCCAGCAATACATGGAGCGAGAGTTGCCAGATGTTCAAGCTGGGTTTAGAAAAGGCAGAGGAACGAGAGACCAGATTGCCAATATCCGCTGGAGAATGGAGAAAGGCAGGGAGTTTCAGAAAAACATCTACTTCTGCTTCATTGACTATTCTAAAGCCTTTGACTGTGTGGATCATAATAAATTGTGGCAAGTTCTTAGTGGGATGGGCATCCCAAGCCCTTGTCTCTCTCCTGAGGAATCTGTACAAGCACCAAGTAGCAACAGTCAGAACTGACCACGGAACAACAGACTGGTTCAAGATTGGGAAAGGCGTACGGCAAGGCTGCATACTCTCACCCAACCTTTTAACTTGTATGCAGAACACATCATGCGATGTGCGGGGCTTGATTAATGCAAAGCTGGGTGAAAATTGCTGGAAGAAACATTAACAACCTCAGATATGCAGATGACACCACTCTGATGGCCGAAAGCGAGGAGGAGCTGAGGAGCCTTCTAATCAAGGTGAAAGAAGAAAGCGCAAAAGCTGGGTTGCAGCTAAACATCAAGAAAACCAAGATTATGGCAACAAGAATGATTGACAACTGGGAAATAGAGGGAGAAAATGTGGAGGCCGTGACAGACTTTGTATTTCTAGGTGCAAAGATTAGCAGATGCAGACTGTGGCCAGGAAATCAGAAGACACTTACTTCTTGGGAGGAGAGCAATGTCAATCTCGATAAAATAGTAAAGAGTAGAGACATCAGACTGGCAACAAAGATCCGCCTAGTCAAAGCCATGGTATTCCCTGTAGTAACCTACGGATGTGAGAGCTGGACCTTAGGGAAGGCTGAGCGAAGGAAGATCGATGCTTTTGAGCTGTGGTGTTGGAGGAAAGTTCTGAGAGTGCCTTGGACTGCGAGAAGATCCAACCAGTCCATCCTCCAGGAAATAAAGCCCGACTGCTCACTGGAGGGAAGGATACTAGAGACAAAGTTGAAGTACTTTGGCCACATCATGAGGAGACAGCAAAGCCTAGAGAAGACAATTATGCTGGGGAAATGGAAGGAAAAAGGAAGAGGGGCCGACCAAGGGCAAGATGGATGGATGGCATCCTTGAAGTGACTGGACTGACCTTGAAGGAGCTGGGGGTGGTGACGGCCGACAGGGAGCTCTGGCGTGGGCTGGTCCATGAGGTCACGAAGAGTCGGAGATGACTAAACGAATGAACAACAACAACAACTAGAGTCTCATCACAGTAGAGCATCTATTCACTTTAAACTCAGTTGCTGCCTCCTGCAGAATTCTGGGGTTTGTAGTTTAGGGAGGGATCTTTAAATCGCTCAGCCAGATAGATACTGGGCCTCTCTAAACAACAAACCCCAGACTTCTGCAGGAGAAAGAAACTGGATTTAAAGTAGATAGATGCTCTACTGTGATTAAGTCCTTACGCCGGTGGTTCTCAACCTTCCTAATGCCATGACCCCTTTAATACAGTTCCTCATATTGTGGCGACCCCCAACCATAAAATTATTCTTGTTGCTACTTCATATCTGTAATTTTGCCCATTATGAATCGTAATGTAGATATCTGATATGCAAGATGTATTTTCATTCACTAGACTAAATATGGCACAATTACCTAATACTCCCAAATTTGAATACTGGTGGGGTTGGGGCGTGGGATTGATTTTGTCATTTGGGAGTTGTAGTTGCTGGGATTTATAGTTCCCCTATCATCCAAGAGCATTCTGAACTCCACCAACAATGGAATTGAACCAAACTTGGCAGACAGAACTGCCACGTCCAACAGAAAATACTGGAAGGGTTTAATGGACATTGACCTTGAGTTTGGGAGTTGTAGTTAACCTACATCCAGAGGACACTGAACTCAAAAAATGATGGATCTGAACCAAACTTGGCACAGATACTCAATACGCCCAAATGTGAACAGTGGTGGAGTTTGGGGAAAATAGACTTGACATTTGGGAGTTGTAGTTGCTGGGATTTATAGTTCACCTACAATCAAAGAGCATTCTGAACCCCGCCAACGAGAGAATTGGGCCAAACTTCCCACACAGGAATCCCATGACCAACAGAAAATACTGTGTTTTCTGATGGTCTTTGGCGACCCCCCTGACACCCCCCTTGTGACCTCGATCCCCAGGTTGAGAAACGCCTTAGGCTTTTATTTATAACTCCCACCAAAAGTGGTTTTGCCACTTCCTTCCTCTGAAATATATCCTGCAGCATCTGATATTCATTGACGGTCTCCCATACAAGTGCTGAGGTTGACCCTACTTAGCTTCCAAGATCACATGGGATCAAAATGCAGCTTTCAACTTTTCAGACTATTCCTCTTGATAATGGACACATGCATAGAAGAGAGAAGGAGCTCGGCTTTTATATCAGTCAAAAGCTTTTCTCCCGCAACATAGGAAGGTTTACCTACTGAACACAATTCAAGGTGCAGGTGCTTACCTACAAAGCCCTAAACGGTTTGGGACCTGCCTACCTGCGTGACCGCATCTCCGTGTATGAACCCATGCGATCCCTTCGTCCATCCGGAGAGGCCCTGCTTACGATCTCACCTGCGTCACAGGCGCGTTTGGTGGGGACGAGGGACAGGGCCTTCTCTGTGGTGGCCCCCTGACTCTGGAACACCCTCCCCAAAGATATTAGACTAGCACCCACGTTGGCAGTCTTCAGGAAGAATCTGAAGACCTGGCTATTCCGATGTGCCTTTCCTGAATAGGATAATCTCCAGCACTACGTCCCAGAAGCACTTTATTAGAGTTTAAGACTCTCTGCACATTGCACTTGCCCGGAAATCCAACATACCACCTGCCACACCCAGCACTTTTTAACCTGTACCCATCACTGGCCCGGCCCTGGTTTTTATTGCGTAATGATGTATTGTTTTGTTATTGATTATGTTTTAATTTGCTTTAAATTCTACTGTTATTGTTTTGCTGGCCTTGGCCTTTGTAAGCCACATCGAGTCCTGCGGGAGATGCTAGCAGGGTACAAATAAAGTTTAATAATAATAATAATAATAATAATAATAATAATAATAATTGCTGAAGATATGAACCTTTTAAGACAAAACCACCATGTGGTTTTATTTCCAAAAAAGGCACCCAACATGCTTTCTGGTGGATTGGTTCTTATGTCATCCTTTTGAGGAAGTATTACTAATTTAGCACAGAGAAAGTAACCGGAAGACACAGCTTCTGTTTGCAGACTATGCAAATTTATCACAATAAATTAACATAAAGACAACAGACCACAAGGTAGCCAGGACAGAGATTGGCCAATACAACCATACATAATGGTTCATATACAAAACATTTATATCTAATGTTACATTGTGTCTTATACGGTCTGGGCAACAGAGCATATAACTGGGCCAGTGGTTGTCCTATCTGTTTCAGGCGAGGACTATACATTGAAATGGAGATAGGATCCACATGTTCCTCAACAGTCTTGTGATCTGCTTTGGGTGACAAACGTTTGAGGGGAAAAGGAGGATGACTTTCCTATGGATTTTCAAACAAAAAGAGGATTTGTCTCTATAGCAGTGATGGACAACTTATGGCTTTTCAGATCAGGAGCTCCCAAGTTGGGTCTTCCAGATTTTTTGGACTTCATCATTGGCCATGTTGGGAAAGGCTTCCAGATAAACAAAACTGTTGGAGGATCAAAGGCTGCGAGAACCTACTCTAGATAGTTATGGACTACAAGTCCCAACCGTGCTATCTAGCACAGCCGATGATGAGGATTATGGAAGTTGCAAATATCTAGAATGTCAGAGCAAAAAGAGGATTTATGTCTATAGTAGGGATGGACAACTTGTGGCTGACCCTACCTAGCTTCCCTACTTAGCCCCCAACTTGGGTTTTCCAGATTTTTTGGACTTCATTATTGGCTATGCTGGGAAAGGCTTCCAGATAAACAAAACTGTTGGAGACTCAAAGGCTGCGAGAACCTACTCTAGATAGTTATGGACTACAAGTCCCAACCGTGCTATCTAGCACAGCCAATGATGAGGATTATGGAAGTTGCAAATATCTAGAATGTCAGAGCAAAAGGAGGATTTATGTCTATAGTAGGGATAGACAACTTGTGACTGACCCTACCTAGCTTCCCTACTTAGCTCCCAACTTGGGTCTTCCAGATTTTTTGGACTTCATCATTGGCTATGCTGGGAAAAGCTTCCAGATAAACAAAACTGTTGGAGGATCAAAGGCTGAGAAACCCTACTCTAGATAGTTATGGACTACAAGTCCCAACCATCCTACCTAGCACAGCCAATGATGAGGATTATGGAAGTTGCAAATATCTAGAATGTCAGAGCAAAAAGAGGATTTATGTCTATAGTAGGGATGGACAACTTGCGGCTGACCCTACTTAGCTTCCCTACTTAGCTCCCAACTTGGGTCTTCCAGATTTTTTGGACTTCATCATTGGCCATGCTGGGAAAGGCTTCCAGATAAACAAAACTGTTGGAGGATCAAAGGCTGAGAAACCCTAGACAGTTATGGACTACAAGTCCCAACCGTCCTATCTAGCACAGCCAATGATGAGGATTATGGAATTTGCAAATATCTAGAATGCCAGAGTTGCACAGATCTGATACACATGTTTATGGGTCTCATTCCAACAATCTGATTTCTGTGGGTGAGAAAAGAAGAGCATAGGCACACAAGCCAAGGAGGAAAAGTTAAGGATTTTCACTGTGTTATCTTTAAATCAAATGTTACAACATTGAAGAGAAAGTATTTTTCAGATCAAGCGTTGGATTGTGTACCAACAGTGAATGTGTCAGAAGAAAGATAACCTAATCCAGATATACCATACAGTGAAGACAAATAAAAAAGTGTTCACTACCCCATTATAGCACACCCAGTTATCAGGATGAACCTCCAACGAGTTATTTAAGAGACGACTCCAAGGAGTTACACCATATCTAGGAGACTTTGTTTTATACTTAAGTGAGGATGAGCTCTTGGTAAGTTAACTTCAGCTGCAGCCAGTATTTCCTCAAGTGTTTATCTGGAACAGGAAATCTTTTTTTAGATTACTCTTCCTCCCAGTCCAATATATTGCATATGGTTTTATATTTCTAAGCTGCTTGGACTTCCTGGAGGTCAGGGAGAGAGGTATACCTCCAAATAATTCACACGGCCATCCATAAATAGAAGTTACATCAGATGCCTCCTGTGTTGAGTGTATTTTCCTTCTATGCTTTCCCACAAGCTTGCAAGTTGCCATGTGAGAGCTGAAACCATCTTCTGCACCATCTGAAGTGTCAAGAGGTCTCTTAATGTCCCCTTTGACCAGCCATTTTCTGCCACCTGTCTCTTACCCAGAAAAACGACACCGAAAAACAGGTCTCAACATATAGCATTCCACCTCGGTGATCACTGAATGGCCACTAACTAGCCATGTCATTGGCTTGGAAAAGGCTGGCTCCATGTCTATTTTTCTGTAACAAATTCAGTCAGTGTCCACGGGGAAGCCATGGCTCCCACCCGCACAGCAGGATAACGTGGTTGAGACAACGTAGCACCAAACAACAGAAAGACATGGCCTCTTAAGCAAGAATGAACCAGATTGAGGCAACCCAACACTAAAGAAGCCTATCAAAAGACACTTGGCTTCGTAACCTTCCATTATCACCAAAGAAGCCTTAGATTTTCATTACTTTTCATTAGACATATTGTTTCTTGGAAGCACTGCTGCTAGGCCGGCTGGATTGCTTTTCCTGAGAGAGTGAGGATTTCGGAGCTTCGGCAGCAAAGACATCTGGGGGCTTATTCTGGTCTCGCAAAGCCAAGGTTTCTTCGGTGTTGAAGTTGGCCCAGTTCTGCTCATTGGAAAGCTTGTTGTAAGCCTGATAGTGCTGGGAATGCCTCTCAGTCATTGGGAGGTAGAAGTAGGACTTGTCTGGATAAGCCCCGACAGGCATTTCACAAAGTTTGGTGGGGAAATTGTTGCTGTCACAAGGCAGAGGGGGAGCAGACGAAGGAGAGCAGCAGTCACTTTCTTTGACACTGTTGAGGAGACTCTTGCAACAGAGATGGAAGAGCTCGAGAAGATTGAGGGCGAGGGAGATCAAGGCCACCACCAGCATGAAGAGGATGAATATGGTCTTCTCAGTGGGGCGGGACATAAAGCAGTCCACCTTGTGTGGACAAGGGGAGCCTTCACAGACATAGAGAGGCCTCATGACGAAACCGTACAGGTACCACTGTCCGAGGATGAAACCAGCCTCAAAAGCGGACTTGAATACCACGCTGATGATGTAGGTCCACATCAGTGGGCCACGTATTTTGATCCGCCCATCTTCTGCCACACAGATCTTGGCCATCTTCTTTTCTACCGCCATCAAGGTGGCCGCCACGTTGTAATCCTTGGACTGGAGTGCCCGGAGTTCATTCTCCCGCTCCTTCAGCTTCTCCTCTTGACGGTGGAGATAGATGACGTGGCCCAGATAGACCAAGGTGGGTGTGCTGACAAATAGGAATTGAAGCACCCAGTAACGAACATGGGAGATGGGAAAGGCCTTGTCGTAGCACACATTGGTACAACCAGGTTGCTTGGTGTTGCAGACAAAGTCTGACTGTTCGTCCCCCCAGACGGACTCCCCAGCGAGCCCCAGGATCAAGATACGGAAAATGAAGAGGACCGTCAACCAGATCTTGCCAATGACCGTCGAATGCTCCTGGACCTGATCCAGTAACTTCTCCAGGAAACCCCAGTCACCCATCTTGCACTAGGAAGAGTAGAAAAGGATAAGTTAACTCTGGAACTACATAATGGTGCTTCAGCTGAGCTTCCCTTACAAGGGGAATATCAGATCTGCAGCTCCCATCATCCTTCCTCACTGCCTATGCTGGCTTAGGCTGATGGGAGTTGTACTCCAACAACATTTAGAAGGTCTAGGTTGTTGTAGGTTTTTCGGGCTATATGGCCATGGTCTAGAGGCATTCTCTCCTGACGTTTCGCCTGCATCTATGGCAAGCATCCTCAGTGGTAGTGAGGTGATGGCCATGGCCATATAGCCCAAAAAACCTACAACAACCCAGTGATTCCAGCCATGAAAGCCTTCGACAATACATTTAGAAGGTCACTTCTTTTGTTTTATCCAATTCTCCAAAGCGAATTCACAGTCTTCTTTTCTACCCAAAGCTCAGGAAATTATGGTTTTGCAATACTGAGGTTTTTCTTAAAATGGTTGCAAAGAATTACAGTAGAGTCCCGCTTATCCAACATAAACGGGCTGGCAGAATATTGGATAAGCAAAAATGCTGGATAATAAGGAGGGACTAAGGAAAAACCTATTAAATGTCAAATCACATTATGATTACATTATGATTTTACAAATTAAGCACCAAAACATCATGTTTTACAACAAATGGACAAAAAAAAGCAGATCAATACATGGTAATGTTATATAGTAACTAGCTGTCCCCTGCCACGCGTTGCTGTGGCCCAGTCTGGTGATCTGGAAAATAAAGTAATGAGAAAGTGTTGGTTTCTAATATATGTAATTCCTTTATGCTTGTGAGTAAACAGCATTTCTTGTTGTTTCTTTGTCAGTGTTGATGTGGAGAGTGTCTGGTTTGCCTACTCTGGAATATGCAACATATCATAGTCCTTCTTTAAGGGTCTCTTTCAAATCTATGATACTATATCTGTGTGTGTGAGAGAGAATCATATCTATCTATCTATATTTATGACTGGATGGCTCTTTGTCAGGAGGGCTCTGATTACATTTTCTTGCCCTGGTGAAGAGAGTTGGACTGGATGGCCTTAAGTATTTTCTGTTGGTCATGGGGGTTCTGTGTGGGAAGTTTGCCCCATTTCTGTCGTTTGTGAGTTTCAGAATGCTCTTTAATTGTAGTGAACTATAAATCCCAGTAACTACAAATCCCAAAGTCAAGGTCTATTTCCTCCAAACTCCATCTGTGTTCATATTTAGGCATATGGAATTTTTGTCAAGTTTGGTCCAGATCCATCATTGTTTGAGTCCACAGTGCTCTCTGGATGTAGGTGAACTACAACTCCCAAACTCAAGGTCAATGCCCACCAAACCCTTCCAGTGTGTTCTGTTGGTCATGGAAGTCCTGTATGCCATGTTTGGTTGAATTCCATCATTGGTGGAGTTCAGAATGCTCTTTGATTGTAGGTGAACTATAAATCCCAGTAAGTACAAATCCCAAATGTCAAGGTCTATTTCCTCCAAACTCCATCTGTATTCATATTTGGGCATATGGAATATTCGTGCCAAGTTTGGTCCAGATCCATCATTGTTTTTATTCTACTGTTATGTTGATGCTGGCATCGAATTGTGCCTTTGTAAGCGCCCTGAGTCCCCTTCGGGGTGAGAAGGGCGGGGTAGAAGTAACAGAAATAAATAAATAAATATACCACATTGTCTCACTGCGATAGAGAACAGACCCTATAAATTCAATATTTAATTATTAAATCACTAGCCGTCCCCTGCCATGCGTTGCTGTGGCCCACAAGGGGGTTCTGTGTGGGAGATTTGGCCCATTTCTCTCGTTTGTGGGTTTCAGAATGCTCTTTAATTGTAGTGAACTATAAATCCCAGTAACTACAAATCCCAAATGTCAAGGCCTATTTAGGCATATGGAATTTTTGTGTCAAGTTTGGTCCAGATCCCTCATTGTTTGAGTCCACAGTGCTCTCTGATGTGGGTGAACTATAATTCCCAAACTCAAGGTCCACCAAACCTTTCCAGTTTTTTCTGTTGGTCATGGGAGCCCTGTGTGCTAAGTTTGGCCCAATTCCATCATTGGTGGAGTTCAGAATGCTCTTTGATTGTAGGTAATCTATAAATCCCAGCAATGACAATTCCCAAATGACAAAATCATTTTTTTTTAGTGGAGGACATACATTGGACTGTTAGGTGTCTTGTGTCCAAATTTGGTGCCAATTCCCCCAGTGGTTTTTGAGTTCTGATGGTAGCACGAACTAACATTACATTTTTATTTATATAGAAGATTATGGTGTTTACAAATTTAGCACCAAAAACACAACGATTCTTTCTCCCATTGGATAATAGAGAATGTTGGATGAAGGTTGAATAAGTGAGACTCTACTGTATACCCAATGGAAGATTAATAGACCATTTTACATCCATGCTCCTACTTTCGTCTGAAAAACCCAAGGCTGTGCAAACAGGAATCTGAAGATATTGATGTAATCTAATTTCAGGATAGCTGTTGCTTTGGGTGTCTTCAGACCATGCCTGGGAAACATTTGACTTCTCATAAAATCTGTCAAGTCTACAAAGCTCCTAGCATTAGAAGTTGAGGAGGAAGCGAGATAAAAACTGCTCTTCCAAATTTATACCACACAGCTTTTATCAAATGCACCTTTTATTATCTAGCAGTGGCACACGTTGTCTTCCAGGATTATTTCTTCCATTTGCCTTAAAAAAAATCTTGTGTTAAACTTAAAGTTTAATTTTGTATTGATTTTGTAATTCGGAAGTTATAGCTGTGGGATTTATAGCTAACTTACAACCAGAGAGCATTCTGAATGCCACCAATGATGGAATTAAACCAAACACGACACACAGAACCCCCATGACCAACAGAACATACTGGAAGGGTTTGGCGGGCATTGACCTTGAGTTTTGGAGTTGTAGTTCACCTACATCCAGAGAGCACTGTGCACTCAAACAGTGATGGATCTGGACCAAACTTGGCACGAATCCTCAATATGCCCAAATAGGAATACTGGAGACTAGGACGCAGAACAATGGCTTCAAACTACAAGAGAGGAGATTCCATCTGAACATGAGGAAGAACTTCCTGACTGTGAGAGCCGTTCAGCAGTGGAACTCTCTGCACCGGAGTGTGGTGGAGGCTCCTTCTTTGGAAGCTTTTAAACAGAGGCTGGATGGCCATCTGTCAGGGGTGATTTGAATGCAATATTCCTGCTTCTTGGCAGGGGGTTGGACTGGATGGCCCATGAGGTCTCTTCCAACTCTTTGATTCTATGATTCTATGGTGGAGTTTGGGGAAAACAAATCTTGACATTTGGGAGTTGTAGTAGCTGGGATTTATAGTTCACTACAATCAAAGAGCATTCTGAACTCCACCAATGATGGAATTGAACCAAACATGGCATACAGGACTTCCATGACCAACAGAACACACTGGAAGGGTTTGGTGGGCATTGACCTTGAGTTTGGGAGTTGTAGTTCACCTACATCCAGAGAGCACCGTGGACTCAAACAATGATGGATCTGGACCAAACTTGACACAAAAATTCCATATGCCTAAATATGAACACAGATAGAATTGGGTCAAACTTCCCACACAGAACCCCCATGACCAACAGAAAATACTGTGTTTTCTGATGGTCTTTAGTGACCCCTCTGAAAGCCCCTCACGATCCCTCGGGGGTTCCAACCCCTAGGTTGAGAAATACTGGTGGAGAATAAATGTAGTTATTTATGTTATTACTTTAGGACCGAGCAGGGGGCACTGTGTATTAGGTAGTTTTATAGCCTTCTTAAAATGGTTGTATTGGATTTTTTTTATTATATTTTATTAAGTTTTCCAGAATATACATAAAACCGGGGAATGGGAAAAAAAGATTTTAATGCTCTTTTGCTTAATTCTATTTTAATCATAGAATCATAGAATCAAAGAGTTGGAAGAGACCTCATGGGCCATCCAGTCCAACCCCCTGCCAAGAAGCAGGAATATTGCATTCAAATCACCCCCGACAGATGGCCATCCAGCCTCTGTTTAAAAGCTTCCAAAGAAGGAGCCTCCACCACACTCTGGGGCAGAGAGTTCCACTGCTGAACGACTCTCACCTCTTCCTCATGTTCAGATGGAATCTCCTTTCTTGTAGTTTGAAGCCACTGTTCCGCATCTTAGTCTTCAGGGAAGCAGAAAACAAGCTTGCTCCCTCCTCCCTGTGGCTTCCTCTCACATATTTATACATGGCTATCATATCTCCTCTCAGCCTTCTCTTCCTCAGGCTAAACATGCCCAGCTCCTTAAGCCGCTCCTCATAGGGCTTGTTCTCCAGACCCTTGATCATTTTAGTCGCCCTCCTCTGTACACATTCCAGCTTGTCAATATCTCTCTTGAATTGTGGTGCCCAGAATTGGACACAATATTCCAGGCGTGGTCTAACCAAAGCGGAATAGAGGGGTAGCATTACTTCCCTAGATCTAGACACTATGCTCCTATTAATGCAGGCCAAAATCCCATTGGCTTTTTTTGCCGCCACATCACATTGTTGGCTCATGTTTAACTTGTTGTCCATGAGGACTCCAAGATCTTTTTCACACGTACTGCTCTCGAGCCAGGCAATGTTCATATATATGCTTTAGGCTTTCACTGATACGGGTTTTTTGTGTGTTGTCCACTTTGAGTCTCCTTTTGGAGGAAAAAAAGCAGGCTAATAATAGTAAGAATAGGAATAATGCAGGTTGACACCACTTTAACTGCCATGGCTCAATGTTATGGGATCCTGGAAGGTGTATTTTCATACATGATAACCATGTATAACTATGTGAGATGTCATAGGAAGGAGCAAGCTTGTTTTCTGCTGCCCTGGAGACTAGGATGCGGAACAATGGCTTCAAACTACAAGAAAGGAGATTCCATCTGAACATTAGGAAGAACTTTCTGACTGTGAGAGCTGTTCAGCAGTGGAACTCTCTGCCCCAGAGTGTGGTAGAGGCTCCTGCTTTGGAAGCTTGTAAACAGAGGCTAGATGGCCATCTGTCAGGGGTACTCTGAATGCAATTTTCCTGCTTCTTGGCAGGGGGTTGGACTGGATGGCCCATGAGGTCTCTTCCAACTCTATGATTCTATAAGGTTTTCAGCTTTCCCTGCCAAAGTGTGTTGGTGCCTCGCCAAACTACAACTCCTTGGATTCCATAGCAATGAACCATGGCAGTTCAAGTGGGATCAATTTGCATTTATTCTACAGTGTAGAACAGGGGTCTCAAACTAAGGCCCAGGGGCCCTCCAAGGTCATTTACCCGGCCCTTACTCAGGGTCAACCTAAGTCTGAAACGACTTGAAAGCACACAACAACAACAACAACAATCCTATCTCATCAGCCAAAAGTAGTATTTCCCCCTAAAATACTAGTAAGTTTGTATTTGTTAAAAATGTTCTTCATTTTAATTATTGTATTGTTTTAAGTGTTTTTTGCACTACAAATAAGATATGGCAAGTGTGCATAGGAATTCATTCGTGTTTTTTTTTCCAAATTATAATCCGGCCTCCAACAGTTTGAGGGACTGTGACCTGGCCCCCTGCTTAAAAAGTTTGAGAACCCCTGTTGTAGAAGCACCCATGACCTCCCTCTGAGGCTGAGAGAGTGTGACTCAAAGTCCAAGGTCATACAGTAAGCTTCATGACTGAGTTAGGATTCAAACACTGATCTCTCAATGCTCAAACCACTATACCACATTGTCTCATTGCTATAGAGAACAGACCCTATAAATTAAATATTTAATTATTAAATCTCTAGCCGTCCCCTGCCATGCATTGCTGTGGCCCACATGGGGGTTCTGTGTGGGAGATTTGGCCCAATTCTATCGTTGGTGGGATTCAGAATGCTCTGTGATTGTAGGTGAACTATAAATCCCAGTAACTACAACTTCCAAATGTCAACATTCTATTTTCCCTCAAACTCCACCAGTGTTCACATTTGGGCATATTGAGTATTCGTGCAGAGTAAGGTCCAGATCCACAGTGATCTCAGTGAACTACAACTCCAAAACCAAAGGACACTGCCCACCAAACCATTCCAGTATTTTTTGTTGGTCATGGGAGAACTGTGTGCCAAGTTTGGTTCAATTCCATCATTGGTGGGGTTCCCATTTGGGCATATTGAGTATTCCTGTCAAGTTTGGTCCAGATCCATCATTGTTTGAGTCCACAGTGCTCTCTGGATATAGGTGAACTACAACTCCCAAACTCAAGGTCAATGCCCACCAAATCCTTCCAGTGTGTTCTGTTGGTCATGGAAGTCCTGTATGCCATGTTTGGTTGAATTCCATCATTGGTGGGGTTCAGAATGCTCTTTGATTGTAGGTGAACGATAAACCCCAGCAACTACAACTCCCAAATGACAAAATCAATTTTTTTGAGTGAAGGACGAACATTGGGCTGTTAGGTGTCTTGTGCCCAAATTTGGTGTCAATTCGTCCAGTGGTTTTTGAGTTCTATTAATCCCACAAATGAACATTACGTTTTTATTTATATAGATTAAATAATAAATAATTAAATAAATAAATAAATAATAAAAATATGTAATGTATTTGTTTTGGGGAATAAAGCACTCAGCTCAGTAAAGCCAAAAAAATGACAATTGTGCTATGTATTGTCGAAGGCTTTCATGTCCGGAATCACTGGTTTGTTGCGAGTTTTCCGGAACATGGCCATACAGCCCGGAAAACTCACAACAAACCAACAATTGTGCTTGCTCACCTTTTAGGAACTCCGCCAACCTCACAGTTTCCTGTGCGTTGCTATCGCCTCTGTTCCACGCTTTGGTGGTTATAATGCCAAAGCAGCAGGAAGCACATGTCCAACTAGGGCTGGCTTGGGCTTCAAATGGGGCAACTAAAGAGTTAAACTGAACCAATGCTCAGAACAGGTGCTGCTTGATAGAAAAGTAGGGCTGCCAATGACTTCAATGAATCCAGCTGATCCTCTCCTAGTACAGGTGTTGTAGCTGCACCAAACCAACCTACTAGGGACCACCAACAAACTACAGGTTGAACATCCCTATTTGAAATGCTTGGGATCATAAGCATTTTTGGTCCTCCCTTCTGCTCAGATTTGGTGGGCATTGACCTTGAGTTTGGGAGTTGTAGTTCACCTACATCCAGAGAGAACTGTGAACTCAAACAATGATGCATCTGGACCAAACTTGGCACGAATGTGAACACTAGTGGAGTTTGGGGAAAATAGAGCTTGATATTTGGGAGTTGCAGTTGCTGGGATTTATAGTTCACCTACAATCAAAGAGCATTCTGAACCCCACCAATGATAGAATTTGGCCAAACTTCCCACGCAGAAACCCCACGACCAACAGAAAATATTGGAAGGGTTTGGTGGGCATTGATCTTGAGTTTGGGAGTTGTAGTTCACCCACATCCAAAGAGCACTGTGAACTCAAACAATGATGCATCTGGACCAAACTTGGCACGAATGTGAACGCTAGTGGAGTTTGGGGAAAATAGAGCTTGATATTTGGGAGTTGTAGTTGCTGGGATTTATAGTTCACTTACAATCAAAAATCATTCTGAACCCCACCGATGATAGAATTTGGCCAAACTTCCCACACAGAACTCCCATGACCAACAGAAAATATTTGAAGGGTTTGGTGGGCATTGACCCTGAGTTTTGGAGTTCACCCACATCCAAAGAGCACTGTGAACTCAAACAATGATGCATCTGGAGCAAACTTGGCACAAATGTGAACATTAGTGGAGTTTGGGGAAAATAGAGCTTGATATTTGGGAGTTTCATTTGCTGGGATTTATAGTTCATCTACAATCAAAGAGCATTCTGAACCCCACCAATGATAGAATTGGGCCAAACTTGCCACACAGAAACCCCATGACCAACAGAAAATACTGAAAGGGCTTGGTGGGCATTGACCTTGAGCTTTGGAATTGTAGTTCACCTGCATTCAGAGAGCACTGTGGACTCAAACAATGATAGATCCAAACAAAACTTGGCATGAATACTCAATATGCCCAAATGGGAATACTGGTGGACTAAGGGGAAAATAGACCTTGACATTTGAGAGTTGTAGTTGCTGGAATTTCTGATAGTCATTGGAGACCCCTCTGACACCCCCTCATGACCCCCCCCCCCCCCAGGGCTTAAGGGGCTCTTTGTAGGTGAACAATAAATCCCAGCAACTACAACTCTGAAAGGTCAAGGTCTATTTTCCCTAAACTCCACCAGTGTTCACATTTGGGCATATTGAGTATTCATTCATAGAAAAGCAGGGCTGCCAATGACTTCAAACTTGGCACGAATACTCAATATGCCCAAATGGGAACACTGGTGGTCTACGGGGAAAAAGACCTTGACATTGGAGAGTTGCAGTTGCTGGGATTTCTGATAGTCTTTGGAGACCCCTCTGACACCCCCTCATGACCCCCCCCCCGGGCTTAAGGGGCTCTTTGATTGTAGGTGAACTATAAATCCTAGCAACTACAACTCTGAAAGGTCAAGGTCTATTTTCCCTAAACTCCACCACATTTGGGCATATTGAGTATTCACTCCAAGTTTGGTCCAGATCTATCATTGTTTGAGTCCACAGTGCTCTCTGGACTCTGCTATGAAGCGCATCCAGGGGTGAACTACAACTCCAAAACTCAAGGTTAATGCCCACTAAATCCTTCCAGGGTTTTCTGTTGGTCATGGCAGCTCTGTGTGCCAACTTTGGTTCAATTCCATCAAGGAATTGAAAACTCAAGGTCAAGGTCCACCAAACCCTTCGAGTATTTTCTATTCTTCATGGGAGTTCTGTTTGCCAAGTTTGGTTGAATTCCATCATTGGTGGAGTTCAGAATGCTCTTTGATAGTAGGTGAACTATAAATCCCAGAAACTACAACTCCCAAATGACAAAATCAATTTCCCAGCTCCACCAGTATTCAAATTTCGACTATTGGGTATTTGTGCCAAATTTGATCCTGCATATCAGATATTTACATTAAGATTCATAACAGTAGCAAAATTACGGTTATGAAGTAGCAACGAAAATAATGTTATGGTTGCGGGCCACCACAACATGAGGAACTGTATAATATTAACAATAATATTAAATATATTTAGGGGTCCATGCAGGTTGGAAGCCAGGGGCAAAGGAATTGAATTAGATGGCGCATTAATTTCTCATTAATTTCAAAGCAATGACCCTATATTTCTGAAGTTGGTTCTATCAAAAACATTTGGAGATCTTGTTACTTACCAGCAAGTGCAATGAAGGTCTTCAATCAGAAATCCAATGGTTTTATTTTTGGAGGGGAAAATTAATGGATTGATTTCAGCCAGGAAGCTCCAAAATAGTTTTTCCAAAAGTGGCCAAAGAGTTCAGACGCAGTGTTGTCGCATGGCAAACTCTTGCTGGGATTCAGGCCGACTCTGCTATGAAGCGCATCCAGGGGAAAAGTTGAATATAATAACTCTGGGAAAAGTTTCAAAAGGGAGGAGTTTCAGGAAACTGGGGGCGGAGAAGCCCTTCTTGTAATAGGCTTGAATGCAATGACTTGACTGTTTGGGAAAAAAAAAATACGAATCTCTCCAAGGGCAGCTGGTCAGGCAGGTGGAAAAAGCAAAGGGAAATTGGGGTGACTTCACCCGCTTCCTGGCTGGCGCATGAACCAGAGGCTGAAAGTTTAGAGGAATGGGGAAAGAAATGAGCCACCTAAGCTAGGAACTCTATTACAGAGTTTCTCAACCTGGGGGCCGGGACTCCTGGGGGGTCATGAGGGGGGTGTCAGAGGGGTTGCCAAAGATGATCTGAAAACACAGTATTTTCTGTTGATCATAGAGGTTCTGTGTGGGAAGTTTGGCCCAATTCTATCGTTGGTGGGGTTCAGAATACTCTTTGATTTATTATTTATTTATTTATTTATTTATTTATTTATTTACAGCTTTTATATTCCGCCCTTCTCACCCCGCAGGGGACTCAGGGTGGATTACAGTGTACACATACATGGCAAACATTCAATGACAATTTTTGACATACAAACATATACAGACATAGACAGAGGCTATTTAACTTTTTCTAGCCGCCAGGGGAGCTGTCGCTTTCATCGTCCATCTGCGACTCTGATGAAGTGCTTCCGCATTCCCCGCATGCTTCCCCGCTGGAATGCTTTGCTGGGGTCTTCTTTATGGCTTCATAAATCAGTTAATTTAGCCTCCCCACACTTTAAGGTGGTACCTTATTTTCCTACTTGACAGATGCAACTGTCTTTCAGGTTGCAAAGGTCGACAACAGGCTACACACAATTGGTTGGAAACCCACTGAACCCGGGCTGGCTTCGAACTCATGACCTTTTGGTGAGAGTGATCTTAATGCAGCTGACACCCAGCCAGCTGCGCCACAATCCCGGTGATTGTAGGTGAACTATAAATCCCAGCAACTACAATTCCCAAATGTCAAGGTCTATTTCCCCCGAAATCCACCAGTCTTCACATTTGGGCATATTGAATATTTGTGCCAAATTTGGTCAGGATCCATCACTGTTTGAGTCCACAGTGCACTCTGGATAAAGGTGAACTACAACTCCCAAACTCAAGGTCAATGTCCACCAAACCCGTCCAGTATTTTCTTTTGGGCATGGGAGTTATATGTGCCAAGTTTGGTTCAGTTCCATCACTGGTGGAGTTCTGAATGCTTTTGATTGTAGGTGAAGTATAAATCCCAGCAACTACAACTCTCAAATGACAACATCAATCCCTTCCCCAACCCCACCAGTATTCAAATGTGGGCGTATTGGGTATTTGTGCCAAATGTGGTCCAGTAAATGAAAACACATCCCGCATATCAGATATTTACATTATGATTCATAATAGTAGCAAAATTACAATTGTGAAGTAACAAGAAAAATAATTTTGTAGTTGGAGGTCACCACAACATGAGGAACTCTATTAAGGGGCAGCGGCATTAGGAAGGTTGAGAACCACTGCTCTATTGCGTCCTTGGGTGCAGCTACAGTGTAGAATGAATGCATTTCACACCACTTTGACTCCTGTGGCTCAATACTATGGTGTCCTAGGAGCACAAGTCTTAACTGTGCAAAAGCTTCCCTGGCCACCGCCAAAACCTGGGGTTCCAGGCTCAGCGATGAGTCCAGGATCACTCTCAAGCTGCGAACCTGCGTCTTCAGGGGGAGTGTAACCCCATCCAACACAGGCTGTAACCCTGTGCCCTGTTCGGCCTTTCAACTGACCAGGAGGACCTCTGTCTTGTCAGGATTCAGTTTCAATTTGTTAGCCCCCATCCAGTCCAACACAGCAGCCAAACACCGATTCAAGGTCTGGACAGCCTCCTTAGTAACAGGTGGAAAGGAATGACAGATTTGGACGTCATACAGATAACAGCTTACTCCGAAACTCTGAATGATCTCCCCCAGTGGCTTCATGTAGATGTTAAACAACATCGGGGACAATACTGAAACCTGAGGGACTCCACAAGACAACGGTTGTGGAGTTGAACAGGTGTCACCCAATAACACCTTCTGGGACCGAGCCTCCAGGAAGGACTAGAGCCACTGCAAAGCAGTACCTCCAAGTCCCATTTCTGCGAGGCGTCCCAGAAGGATACTGTGGTCAACGGTATCGAAGGCCGCTGAGAAGTCCAGCAGAAACAACAGACCTTGGGTTGTCGTTTTACAAAGTTTTTTATCCTTCTCTGCTAAAGAGCGATGTTGCCTCTCCAAATTGTGACTCCTCTGATTCTATAGTAGCAAGCCATGGGATCTAAAATGATGTCTAGCTGCATTAATTATTATACAGTGTGGATACACTCAAAAACTCAGTTTATTTATTTGTCATGTCAGGGCAACCAGTCACATTTCTAACAGAACAAAGCAAACAAACAGACAACATACAAAATTTGTGAGTTTGGTAGTTGATTAAATTTCCTTTGACCAGGATCTGGCCACTTGGAGTGCTTCTGGTGTTGCTGCAAGAAGGTCCTCCATTGTGCATGTGGCAGGGCTCAGGGTGCATTGCAGCAGGTGGTCAGTGGTTTGCTCCTCTCCACACTCGCATGTCGTGGATTCTACTTCGTAGCCCCATTTCTTGAGGTTGGCTCTGCATCTTTTGGTGCCAGAGCACAGTCTGTTCAGCGCCTTCCAAGTCGCCTGGTTTTCTGTGTGCCCAGGGGGGAGTCTCTCATTTGGTATCAGCCATTGGTTGAGGTTCTGGGTTTGAGTCTGCCACTTTTGGACTCTCGCTTGCTGAGGTGTTCCAGCGAGTGTCTCTGTAGATCTTAGAAAACTATTTCTAGATTTAAGTCGTTGACATGCTGGCTGATACCCAAACAGGGGATGAGCTGGAGATGTCTCTGCCTTGGTCCTTTCACTATTGGTTGCTACTTCCCGGCAGATGTCAGGTGGTGCAATACCGGCTAAGCAGTGTAATTTCTCCAGTGGTGTAGGGCGCAGACACCCTGTGATAATGCGGCATGTCTCATTAAGAGCCACATCCACTGTTTTAGTGTGGTGAGATGTGTTCCACACTGGGCATGCGTACTCAGCAGCCGAGTAGCACAGCGCAAGGGCAGATGAAAAAAAAAACCTCAGTAGAACTCCTGGAGTGCATCTACACTGTAGAATTAATGCAGTTTGGCACTACTTTTAACTGTCATGGCTCAGTACTATGAAATTATGGAGTTGTGGTTTTTGCAAGGACATTAGCCTTCTCTGCCAAAGAGTGGCAATGCCTCTCCAAACTGCAATTCCCAAGATTCCATAGCACTGACCCACAGCTATTAAAGTGGTGCCAAACTGCATTAATTCTACAGTGTAGATGCACCCTCATAGGATTAATTTGCAATTTTCTTGATGATTGGGGGCAAAGCCCTTTGTGAGCTCACTCTGCAGCCCAGTCAGGGAAATAGGAAGCGTCGGAAAACAAGGGAGACTGAAATAACAACCCTTGTGCATTGCTCTGCTCTTTCTGGCCAAGAGCAACAAGGGGGAAATCCTGGACAAGTGGAATTTGCCGACCCTTAATGCAACTAACCAAGCGTGGGAATCCCAGATGAGATGTTGCAGGGATTGGGGTAGAGCTGAGTGTCTCAGTGATGCGGTGGTTTGAGTCTGAGAAGACATCTACATTGTTGGTTTGATGTACTTTGACACCACTTGAAATGCCATGGCTCAATTCTATGAGTTTTGGCTTTCTAAGGCCTTTGGCACGACAACCTCCAGGATTTATTTAGCATCAAGCCGCTGCAGCTAAAGTGCTGCCAAAATGCATTAATTCTATTGTGCAAATGCTCTAAGTTAAATAACCATGGTTTCTCGTGATTTGCATTTCATAAGCCACATTTCTCCCGAGATTTGAAGTTGAAAGTTGTAATTTGTTGAAGCACTGAGCAACCCTCTTTGGCAGAGAAGGCTAAAGACCTTGTAAAATGGCAATTGCAACAATTCGTTAGCATTGAGACATGGCAGTTAAAGTGGTGTTAAATTGCATTAATTCGACAATGTAGAGATGTACCAGCCCCCTGGTGGCTCAGCTGCTGAACTTGCTGACCAAAAGGTTGATGGTTCGAACCCGGGGAGCGGAGTTAGCTCCTGCTGTTGGCCCCAGCTTCTGCCAACCTAGCAGTTCAAAAACATGCAAATGTGAATATTATTTATTTATTTATTTATTTATTTATTTAGAACTTTTATATACCGGTGTTCTCACTTCCGACAAGGGACTCAGGCCGGTTCACAACAGAGGATTCATACACAATAGTTTAAAACACCACATCCCATAATACACTAATATAAAAACACATTAAAATACAATCATATAATTACATAAGGCCAAGTCGTCAGAATGAAATCACAATTCATCACCATCCGTCCGTGTGGTCAAGAGTTACTTAATCACTCATACGTACTACTTCGGCGGGAAGGTAACGGCGCTCCATATAGACATACTACTCACATGACCTTGGAGGTGTCTATGGACAACGCTGGCTCATCAGCTTAGAAACTGAGATGAGCACCAACCCACATAGTCAGACACGGCTAGACTTAATGTAAGAGAAATCTTGACTTTTACTAAAAATGCATCCTAGGACTCCAAGAGACCAGTGTTCGAATCTTTGAAAATATCCCACCTTTACTCTACTCCAGTGCTTCTCAACCTGTGGGTCCCCAGGTGTTTTGACCTACAACTCCCAGAAAACTCAGCTAGTTTACCCAGCTGTAAAGATTTCCGGGACCTACAGGTTGAGAACCACAGATATACTCTTCCTTTCCCCCTTCATCCTCAGCTGACTCCAGCTGCTGCAAACTAAGAGGGTTCTGCTTGACCTCTCATGGCCTTCGATACCGTTGACCACGGTATCCTTCTGGGACAACCCACGTGAATGGGCCTTGGGGGTACTGCTCTACAGTGGCTCCAGTCCTTCCTCGAGGGTCGCT